AGTTATGGTCCCAGCGACTACTATTTGAAAAAGGATTTATGTGGACGCCGGTTTAACTACCAAGTTGAGTTAAAAGAGTCTGTTGTAGGTCATTTTGCAGACAAACCAAAATAATATTTTTTTAAATGGATTGAGTTGTTAACAAAGAGATGTAATAAGAGAGATGTAATAAGTGTATTGAAGTTAAGGAGGATTATATTGAAAAATAATAAAAAAATTTTACTCTACTTTGTTTTTTTCATATTCAGGCCGGGAAATTTTGGCGCTGCCCTCGTAAAGCTATGTTTCTTTGTAACTTTTTGAAAATTTCTGGGTGTAATCTGACCCGTATTACTAGCAAAAATCAACTTACATTAATGCGGTTTGTAAGAATTTACCAAAATATTCTGTTCTCAATTGGAAACACACGCTATGAACATAAATATTCAGTTGGCGTTTAATAAAAATACGGTAAAAATCACCGAGTTGGCGCAACTTCTCGTTAGCAATTAGAACAGGTTCTATTGGCGCAACTTGGTTCCAAGCAATTAATGTCCACCCGACAACGCCTCAAGGTCGGGCTTTTTTTTGCAAGCGGAACGACAAATTCCATCTTGAGTATTGAGGTTAAGTGTAATCAAATTAGATGCAAAATTTCATCATTAAAACGCTTTGAACACGATTTGAAATAAAGATAAATTAAAAAATCATCTCTGAGAGGTCCTGAGAAGATGTGACTTCAGTAGGTTCTAACTCTCAACCTATTTTAATTTTTTACAGTGTTGGTTGCTCTATCTTGTACAGGTATTCCAAATTCTAAAATTGTCGCCAGCAGAGTAAGTGCTAGAGGAATGGTTAAGCGCCTTTGAAAATTGTTGTCTTCCTTTTTATCTCGGTAATAAAGCAAAGACGGCCGTTCAGTGGCTGTATTTGGGAGAGATAATATCGATTAAGTCGAAGAGCTTTTACAAAGGATCGAAACTGACAGCGAGAGGTTTTTAACAAAAGAACGAGCAGTCAGGATGACTTGGGGGTTTTTTGGCGTTGCAGACTTTATTCGAGCCAAACCACAACAAGTGTGAATCTTATTAGCTTTACTGGTTTTAGGGGTCAGTTTGCATAGTAAATTATCGAGAATTCTAGTGTTACTGGTCACTTAAATTACTTGGGCGATAAAGGGGTAATATTTCAAATGGCCTTGAGTTACGAGTTAGTTACATTTGATACAATAATTACATCGATTAATTGAAACCCGTTGTTCCAATTATTCTTGGATAATTTCTAGTAATACGACTAGCTACGGGCAATATTATAATATCGACGTCTGTACAGCAACCGGAATTGAGTGCACGCTCAAGGATGCCTATGGCCTTTTAGGGTACGGACCCGATTAATTTATTTGTTAAATATGTACATTTATAAGAAAACAATATTTTTTGTGTCATTCGGATTTTCCTTCCGGCACAACATAAAAAGGGGTCAGTTCGAAAATTTGTGATATTTCTCCTGGGACTAACTGTAGTTGTATTAAACATCGAATTATTAAATAAATGTTGCAGATTTGAAGTGAGAAGCCTAAAGGCAAAATTCGTCTCATTTAAAAATGGAGAAGAGTTGATACGTATTAACGATGATAATTAAACTTTATTTATAATTACTAATTAATTGAAAACCGCATTTCAAACATTGAAATTCAATGGAACCTTAAAATTGAAATAAACAAAACGGAAACCTAATAGTTAACGAACTAAACTTTAGTTTTCTTTTAAAAAACAAAAAAACGTTAACATATCAAATTGTCCCACTTTAAGGCCGCCATTTATATAATATTGAGTTGCTATATGGGTGATTCTGGTTTAACTGTGATTAATTAATAATCTACTAATACAATTTTTGGATTAATTAGATGATCATGAACATTTTTTTTTATATTTTATATCAGCTAAATCTCACAGTGCCGTATCATGTCATTTCTAAAATTTATCTATAAATTCAGAATAAAGGATTTATACTAATTACCTCATAAATCCTATGACCAAACTAAAAAAATACACTTTTTTGGTTAATGTTTTAAGTTAACACTGAATTCCGGTTCAATAACTTTTGCTTGAAAATTTGTTGAAAGTACGTCATCTGAGTACTATTTACGAACATGGAGTTGGTGAAATAATGCAAAGAGTTTATATGATTTTAGAAGTCAAATTTATTTTATATCAGTACCGTGGATAAATGAGTCAGTACAGTGGAAAGAAAAATTTGAAATTCATTTGTCGTTATTGACGCTTTGAAACAACAAATAAAATAAAAAAAAAAGGTTACTTTTAAAGTCTTACCAATTTTAAGTTAAAAAGTAACAGGGCGGAATCACCTCTATACATACACATTTATAATGGTTAGAAGGAACCAGTCAGTGTTGTCTTTTTATATCATTATTTAACTTTCTTTTTTGTTGATTATTTGTTACTGTGTTTTGTTATACTTGTTTTTGTTAAGTCCTTGTTATTAGATATTAAAATGGCAGGAATATGTTGGGATTAAGAATTTCTGAAAGTATTATACTCGGAGAATATTAAGAGGTTAATTCTTTTTGTTCATTTGAGTGGAAATTGATTAGCTTTTCCAGAAAACTCCATTTTGCTTGCTGTTTTGAATTGTGAGTTTGTCAGTGTTGGTAGAGAAACATCTTTCGGAGAACCGGCGTTAAACGATTAAGCCTGGAATCTGCTGACGCAAGCAGAGATATTTGCACGACATTCGCGGCATTGCTGATGCTATTAGCGGCGTCCAAGAACAACAATAATTATCTGATTAAATAACAAGCGTAAAAACTCAACATCAGCCGACAATTTCTTAATTGTGAGCGCATTGTTGTCCCTGCAGACGGTACGGTGCGAAGTCGTTTGAACCCGACCCTTTTCTTCACTGCCGCCTTAATCAACAGTATAATGAAAAGTTGGCGCCTCTCGGTCGCTCTCGAGACACGCACAGCTACACAAAAAGAATTAAAAATCTAGTGACTGACCGTCATTATACATATAGGGCCAGTCCGTTCCGATAATGGTCGCAGCGGTGGGGAGAGAAACAAATGAATGTCAGATTTTTTGCTTGCGCCACTCGTTTTTGTACTTGGAGTACCATTTCAACGAACTCTTCGCTTTTGATAGTAGAGTAAGACAATATATTCATGAAATTCCTGCAGGTTCCTTTAATCTTTTCTTTATTTTCTCTAGTGCAGGTAGTGCAGCTCAGGATTTGGCATAGTTAAAAGTACAGGAACGCTTAAATATTAAATTGATTTAATTTATACTTAATAAATTAATTACTGGGCTGCGGCAACACCGCTTTATCAGTAAAAAGCTGGAACAATTAAATTCAATACCTAGGGGTCTTTAAACATGTTGAATTAAAAAATGTTAGCAGCAATGTTGTCATATTTCGGGATGATATTTATAATTCTGGAAACCTTTCATTGATACACTTCTAAAGTTTACAATTGTCAAAACCCTCCATTATTCTGAGATGTTAGGAATTTTTTATTAACAGTGACAACACTGCTGTTAGCATTTTTATCGTATCGGTATAAGGGGTGACAACGAAACTACTGTCGACGGCATCATTTCGAAATGGCTTGATATAAAAATTTGGTACGTCCATAATGCGAAAATTTATCACTCTCTATATTTTTGTTCACACGCTTTAGTTCGAAGATCAATATTTTTTGAAATCACGCAGTTCAAAAATATGTCAAAATCCTAAGATTTCATTATTTTATCAAAAAAAGAAGTTGGCCAGAACGAAAAATATTACGGTTGCTTACTCCTCATTCAAAGTGCAATTCAATTTAACATCAAAAACAAAATTTGAGGTCATTTAAAAAAAATGCAATTATCGTGATCGATTTGTCCAAATTTCGATAAGTTACGGCACGTAACCAGTTTAACTTACATGAACTTACATGAAACCACTGTTCAAATCTACTTTTTTTTATCCTGCATCTAATTATGATAAATTCAACTCCATTTTTTACCTTTTTAAAAAAGCATAGAAAGGACAAATAATCACTAATATTGGCAGTAGTAAGTTATAGATATCAACAAACAATTTAGTGTCTACAAGTGTCCACTGTCCACTGTCCACACCTACTTTTTTTTATCCTACATTAAATTATAATAAATTCAACTCCATTTTTTACCTTTTTAAAAAGAATAGAAAGGACAAACAACCACTAATTTGGGTAGTAGTAAGTTATAGATATCAACAAACAATTTAGTGTCTACGCATGATCTAAAACAATATGACAAGATGTTTTACAAAATAGGAGCAAGTAGATATGGTGCTTATTTACCGTAAATGTCTTTTCGATAAAAGACAGGCTGTAATAGTGTATTACTGCCCGTTCTAGTCCAGTCTTTTGCTATTTTTTCCTAAACACTGACTGAATTCAACACATAGAGGTTTATTTTATCAGGGATGGAAGTTGAGAGGGAGGAGATTTAAGTATCAAAATATTAAATTCCATTTTAAGCACTCGCATCATTAAATAAGATAGGTTATTGTTATGCATGTTGAGCAGAAATTTACCAATTTTCCAAATTATTCAGTCAGCATTTTTCATTTTCAATGTATTTATTTGTTCTATAATAGATCTCAACATTTTCCGCTCATGTACGTGTACTATAGCTAATCAGTTCTTTTATTTCACATTTCGACAAATCCATATCGATTCATCCATAAGAAAAGATCTCTAATTTGTCTCTTCAGAATTGCTCACCATTTTATGAAGTATCTATTAAAAAGAGTAAAGAAACTGATTCTGATCTTTCTCCCGGACCCTATCGTTCATACACAAGAATTTATTTTGGTAGTAGACTCCAAATATTGATGTCTTCGAGAATGTCTTGTAATGATACCTCAGAGCCGCAAACAATTATTTAAATTAAAAAATAATTACTCTGAAGAAATGATAAACATTATGTTTCTTTACTTTAGTATTTTAGTCAAATTTTTCTTTTTTGTTACAGGAACATCCGAGTCTGAGAGGCACGCCGCTGGCGATGTTGGCGGCTCAGTGCAACAAACTGAGCAGCAAATCCCCGCCTCCCCTAGCGGACGCGGCAGTCGGCAAAGGTTTCCATCCTTGGAAAAAATCTCCCCAAGGTGCCCCTTCCCCCAGCAGCGCGGGAGTATCTTCCGCAAGCTCACTGTCCTCCCAAAGGTCGTCTGCCTCGAACAGTACTTACTCTAGATCAGTCATGACGTCATGTGCGTCGGTACCTACGACTGCATCATATGGAAGCGACTTCTATTTTCCCGCCGCTACGACGCAGCCGTCCGTATCGGAAAATTCCCACGTCCACCACCAGACGTCTCTACTGGGGAAGGTGGAAGGTGCCGCAACTGCGCATCACGCTGCCTTAGGGTCGGTTTACACGAGACATCCGTACGAAACCTGGCCTTTCAATACGATGTCCGGCGCGACGCATCACGCCGGAATCAAAAGTGATACCGTAGCGTCCGCGAATGCTTGGTGGGACGTCCATTCCACTGCCGGAAGTTGGTTGGACATGAGCGGAGCTGCCGGAATGCACGCTCAAATGGCAGCTGCGAACTACTCGTCAGACTACTCGACCCTCACGCATTCCTTAGCAGCTTCTAATCATTTGCTATCCTCCGGACAGCATCTGCTACAGGATACCTACAAATCTATGTTACCCGGAGCCCAAGGGGTCGGTGCTTCGTTTGGTCTTCACGCTGCGAGTTCTTCGCCTTCACCGACCGGAGGTGCCGGAGGTTTACCTCCACAAGTACCGTCCCCGAGGTCGCAGAGGCGGTACACCGGACGAGCGACTTGCGACTGTCCGAATTGTCAGGAAGCTGAACGGTTAGGACCGGCAGGTGTGCATCTTCGGAAGAAGAACATCCACAGCTGTCACATACCGGGTTGCGGGAAAGTTTACGGGAAAACGTCTCACTTGAAAGCCCATTTGAGGTGGCATACGGGAGAGAGGCCATTCGTGTGCAACTGGTTGTTTTGTGGTAAGCGATTCACGCGGTCGGACGAGTTACAAAGACATTTGAGGACGCATACCGGCGAGAAGCGGTTCGCTTGTCCCGTGTGCAACAAACGTTTCATGAGATCGGACCACCTGGCGAAACACGTCAAAACTCATAACGGTAACGGTAAGAAAGGCAGTTCCGATTCGTGTAGTGATTCGGAGGAGAACAGTCAAAGTGACATGACCAATAACGTCAATTCTCCATCGTCGATGAACCACACGCCGCCTCCGTCTGCGCCATTGTCCGGATTGGACATGGTCGCGGGTTTGGACGTGAAGCCGCCTGGCCTGGTTTGAGGTCGGTGGGGCCCAGCGTTGCTGTACTCCAGCTACCCGCGCTGAACAAAGGCCCCATAGTGATATCCTCTTTTACATTGTACTAATTACACGTGTACAAAGTTTGTAAATATCTGATGCTTCGGAAATCTATTTGAATAGCGAAATCTATTGATGTAAATATTATAATAGGCACGGTATTACGTCACGTGAGGAAGGAAAATCGGTTTCAGCTTCGATTGAAGATAAGCCTGGGTCTAGTCGTAACTAATATAACTCTCATTCCAGCAGATACTGTCACCGATAGTTGTCGTTATCATGAAAACTGTGTGATCTGTGTGTACCCTTAAAGAATTTCTATATTTTATTGAGGATTTTAGAGGATTGGTTTAATCGAATTTGCGATTTATCGTGTGAACAATCTGGTTAGATTTGAACCTTACAACTTATCTTCGCCGGCCATCTTGGAAACGCGTTAAAAGCCACAATATTTTCCGTTCAAAAGTGACGTTATACCGTGCAGTGACAATTTTTGATGGTGAAAGAGAAGTGGGTATGTAAGAAATAGTCTTCTCTGTGGTCCTCACGTTACGATGAATTTATCATGTCAAACAGGAATCTAGAAATAAATGGGCTGTAAATGTTAACATATTATTACATATCATCATTCAGCTTTTTCCTCTACTTAATGTTACTGATTTTCGAGATTTCGATTTTTGTAAAGTCAGGGGCGGCGCCGCGTCATTTTTTTTCTTCTCTTTTCGCCAAAGATTGTATATTGTTGTTTGTATATTACTATTTTGTAAATTATTACGTCTAATGAGCTTTTGTGACCGCATTAAGAATTTAAAAAAATATATGGATATAATTTTTAAATTGGATGTTGTGTTTTTATTTTCCTGTGGAGAATTAGCATAAGTAAGTCGTTTACATTAAACGCTCCCATGCAAAATAACACGGTGTCGAGTTACAAGAATGCAGGCACCTATAATAATCATTAATTGGATAACTAATTTAATTACCCTTGTTGGTAATTAGTACAGATTGCTAGTTTGCTTCTAATAATCTGTTAGCATAAAAAATGGTTAAGTTCGTCCAACCGAATCTTTTGAAAACATAAATAATAGAATATCCAAACCAGAAAGTGAAATTTAATAAAGCAGCATGATATTAATTAACGTTGGAGAAAAATCATGGGGTATGAATTACGTTTACATTGAATCAAAAATTTTCTGGAATTGTAATTGCAGATGAAATGGAAATTTAATAGAACAACTGTTAGCATAGAAGTTATAGTTTATTTATGTTCAAAAGTGCTTTGCCAAAATTATAAAAATTGATATTACATTTATAAATCCGGAAGAAGAAAATTTAACGTACTGAAGTGGTCGATTGCATCAATTTCGCTGTAAAAAACAGTCATTTTCTTATTTGAATTGCACTTGTAAAAGTTTATAACATCCTGATTCCAATAGAGCACAGGCAGCACATTTATCCCTAATTTAGAAGTGGTAGTCTTCCATCATGAAGGCACCTCTAATTGTGAGGAATCGCAGCTATTTTTCGGAGCAATTTAAATAGCAGACCCGACGAAAGACGATTTATCTAAACACTGTCGCGGGGTTTCGGCTTCTTAATTTACGACCACTATTTTACTTTAACAAGATGACAAGCTCGCTTGTCACTTATAATTAAACTTTTCTTTTTCATCCCGTTAACGCACAAATAATATAATTGAAACAGTATACGTTTCAGAACGTGTACGTGTCGTCCGATGGGTGTCATAATTTTCCGACGCTACATTTGCTGCCAAAAGGAATATTTTGTCGTAATATATTTACCATGACTTCCGTTACTTTTTTTGATTAAACAGTTTATCACTGAAATCGAGCCAAATGATTTAGCTGCATATAAATAGACTTGCGGCAAGGGAGATTGTGTGTCGTGGCTTACAATTTCGAAGCTGTGCCATGTCGAGTGAGGGTTCCAGAAAACTTCCTTTCAAGTAGTCGTGCGAAACATATGCTTGGAAGGAATTTTGAGATGCTTTAATAAAACACTATGTAGACGAGGGATTTTTCCTTAACACATTCATTCCGAGCAAAATCAATGAATCATAGCAATTGATATTTTAGAGTGATGAGTTTACCAAACGAAAATGGCTTCAGTCATGAAAGTTCAGTATTCAGGACGACAATAAAATTTAAAGAATTGGAACTAAATAAAAAAGAAATATAATTAGGAACTTACAAAAAATAATGTCGAATTGGTCAGTGTTTCATCTTCATAGCTGATTTTCATTTCTTGCTTGTCGGGACCATATAGACCAATGTAGTTTTCATTTTGATTTGGATTCCAAAAAAATTTTCTGCCTGGAATTGATTAATACTGACATTTGACTTTTAATACTTTCCCTAAGACCAAATTTCAGGCAGGCGAGCAACAGTGAACAAATTAGAACTATAAAAAGAATAAATTCACACATTCGCAACCGAAAAACTGCGATCAACGCTCAACATAAGAACAATACAGCCCAACATAATACCATCTTAAATAATTTTGGAACGTCGTAAATGTAGTTATCAAGAGAGAAAGTCAGAATGCGGTCGCTCTATCATCGGTACGAGGACATGAAGAACATCAAGGCATCGAAAAGCGTCGAAAAAATTGCCCTTAGGGCTCATAATTAGATCATTAGATTCGTGGTAGTTAAGCCAACATACCGAAATAACAAAGATAGGAAAAAATCCCAAATTTCCAGAAAAAAAAATTAAAACCGTCGAAACCAATTTTCTTTTTCTTTATTTTACTTAATTACACAAAGTTTCAGACTGACTGATCACTATCCGTTATGGTAAACCATTTCGAAGTCCATGAAGTTGTCCACTAGAAACTTCAGCTCTGCGCTTTGTTACTGGTCTTCAAATCTTTAGTATTTCTGCCTTGAGCTGCTAAAACTGTTGTTGTTACTTGATATGAAGAATATTTTATGTGTTTCTAAAATCCTACGTTTAGAGAACGTTTTGTCTGTCTAATATACAACTCAGTGCATTCCCAAGATTCTTACTCTCTCTCTTGGTTCGACCATTTGGTTCTGGTGTTTGTCAAGGCACTTCCTAAAATCGCTCCAGTATTTCGTTATTCGTCTGATCTTGTCTGTCAAACAGAAGTGCGTTCTCATTAGCTCAGATACTTGCAACCAACTGGTTCTTGAAATACATAATCACACAGATCAATTATTTGCTCGGATAATGATGTATTCGTTGACCAAAATTTGAAGAAAAAACTGAAGGGCTAACAACCACGTTGTCACGTCGTTGTATAAGATAATGTATTGGTGATAGGGTGCATGATGTTTAGGTCTAAAACACCGCCTACTCTGTCTAGCTCTTCTGTCTCTTTTGATGTAGCTATCCTAGCATTTCCTAAAATTAAATTTTCAATCACCTGAAGTTGTACTGACAAAGGCTCTAATATTTATCTCCCAAATAATTAAAATAGCTCTAGTCACTAATCCTACTCCTCTTGAAATATTTCATTGTTACAAAACTTTCTCATCTGAGCCATTTTATACCACACACCTGAAGACCGATTCGGGAGAATGTTGAAAAAATAGGAACAGCACCAATTTGAATGACGTAAGCAGAAGTAAAGGATAAATCACTGCTCTGAAGTTAACAGCTTTTGGCCATGGCATGAAACTTTCAACTACAAGATACAGATGAAAAGTTTGTAAATTTTTCTCTCCCCTTTTACGTGAGTGCCAAACCCAATAAAACGATATCACAAGAAGAGTCCTGCCGGCACTCCATTCTTCCGAAACCCTAAAACAAACACCGTCCGAGGGAGAAATTAGGAGCGAAAAAAAAACGTAACCACAAAACGCGATTGTTCATCTCCCCGGAGTAGGTTTAATCAAGGCTCCCCCGGAGTTCGGCTCAATTGAACCATTCCCGTTTGCCTTAATGGAAACGAATTGTGGAGCAGCTCGTGTCGCATTGTGGGGATTATTATTCCGATCTAACCGCGCCGCATGATTTCATTATGCCGGTCCTCGTCGGGTATCACTTTGCCTGAATAATCTCTTACTGGATAGATTTATCAGATTATCGAGAGGCGGCGAACGACCATTCCAAGATTATATTAAGATTAATGTTTTGTTTGGGCTCTTTAGCCACGTCGCGTTTGATTCGATTAACAGTCGATAACGGGGAAAAGTAGAGAGGGCGTTCGATACACGTTCAAGTGCTTAAAAAAATGGTTATTTGGATAAGTGATTTTTCCATATTTTATTTATCCAGAGGAAACCAGTACGGATTCAGCTTCCATTTCAGCACCAATATGCAACAAGTTTGATTAACTACGCACGAATTTCTTATGGCACAAACGGAACGGAGCGGAGCGAGTATTTAACAAGCGACTAAAGAGGTTTATCAACAAATTGTATAAATTTTTTCTAAGGCCATTAGCTTTAGGGTGCATTAATACATTCGATCATGACCTAAACATCAGTACCGGTGATGTCAAAATACCATCGGTGGTTAAAATCTACCGAAGCCTTGTCCAAAGCAGCCGAAACGTTGTCGCGCCATTGGAGTGGACATCTCAAAGTGACATTTGGCGCAAGCATGTAATTAGCTATTTTAAATCAGGGAGATGTACCGTGCGTTCAATTTATCTTGATAACATTTTAATTGGCTGTAACTTTTTTGTTTTTAGAGATATCAAGGAAAACAAAAAAACGAAATGTAAGGTTAGTAGTCCAAGTGACACATAAAACAAAACACTATCAATTTTCTGCCGTAATAATAAACTCTAATTGTATGATGTCTTGCATTCAGTATCGTTTCCGGATTGTCTCTTAACTGATTGATTGCTTCTGAAATCCTTTGCCGAAGTTCCACGACATTATTACAACGAGTTTTGTGCATATAATTTTTTATATGTCCCCAAAAGAAAAAATCAATTAAAGTTAAGTCGGGGCTGCTGGCTGGCCAATCCATAGTTCCGCCGTTCCCTATCCAACCCCTGGGATATTCCATGTTAAGAAAATTTTTAACTGGCAGGACATTGTGAGGAGGGGCACCGTCTCACTGTCATATAATTGCATATAGGTGCAAATAATGATCTCCAGTTAACTTTTGATCTATAAATATAGGACCCAAAATATGCCCATCTATCACACCACACCATACATTAATTGATTGGTATCACTGGCTTTTTCTTTCGTGTATTTGTCTAGGATAATAATATCGCATATTTTGTCTATTACAACCCTTTCTTGTAATGAACGAACTTTCAACAGTGCGTAAAATGTTTTCCAAAAAATTATTATTCTCATTATTATTCTACACTTAGTTTTTGAGTTTTACGAAATTTAAATGCATTATATTTATATTCTTTCAAAACTGAGCGGATTGATTGATCCCCGAAAAATACCTGTCTCTTCATAAAATACCTGTCTCTTCATATACTCTAGTATGAAAGTAAACTGGATGTGCTTCATAGAATCGTAATATATTTGCATTATTTTCTTCATTTAAAACATTATGATTCCGGCATACGAGTTGACTAAAACATAAAATGTGTTACATCATTGTAATCGGAATAAAATATTCTATTAAACACATATGTAATGTACAGGGTGTAATATGTCGGAAAATTGATAGTGTTTTATTTTATACGTCACTCGGAAAAAACTTGGCTACTAACCCCTCATTTTGTTTTTTTCTATACCTTGATATCTCTAAAAACAAAAAAGTTACAACCAATTAAATCGTTATCAAGATAAATTGAAAGTACGGTACAGAAAATACAAACTTTAGTCACGAATTTGGGGCAAGCGGATATTTTCGGTAGACTTTAAACACTGATGATATTT